CAATAACGATCTGCAGAAGTATCTTCATTTACAAGCTTTACAATGATATTATTTTGGAATAGAAAATGATAAACATATATGTATATTTAAATAAAAGATTACGTATAATTTCATGACATAAATTTTCATTATAAAAAAAGAATCACATTAAGTTTTTTACATACCCACATACATATTTAAGTACTTATATACATTTATTAATTTTTACCACAAAAAAAAAAGAAAGAAAATGGTATTTTTATCATCACTCAACCTTGATGTTTTCAAGACTGTTAATCTTCTCTGCAACTAAGTTTCCAATCGTAAGAAAATTTTCAGTGCATATCGGGCATTTCGAAATTTTTTTATAACAAAAGTGACATGTATGATGTCCATTGATACATTGCAAAATCTTTCCATTTGGGACTTTTAAACATATAGGACATTGAATTATTTCGTAAAATATCCTGTACCATCACAATACCTGTGGACGCATCACAGTCACAATCCAGAAAATAATTATATACGAAATACATATAAATAATATCATAATTAGATTGCATAAATAAATGAAAGCATTTTAGTACTTTTTACGTAGAGTAAGTTTTCATATTTTAATGTAAAAAAAACGTACCTCGTTTTCATTCATTGTTAGACTAAAAGATAAAATATTAAAACAGAATGGATTCTTTCTAGCCGATTCTTCGTACATTCAGCTTTTGTTTCGTGGGTATTCCCAAAAAAATCTATCATTCTGTTGAATCTTATGTAACTAAAACACTAGAATCGTGTCAGTTACTGAATGTTATAACAATTTTGTAATTATGAAATTACAGAAATTAGCAGAACGTTGCATTCCATGAGACGTAATATAAATTATAACATGTTGGTTGTCGTAATAAATTTTGTATATTTATCCACGTCAATGATAATATACATTTTGTTAAAATTGTAAAATTATATATGTAAATGTTTCAAAATACATTTTTTTACTACTCCATTGTAGTAAAATTTTGAAGACAACAAATATTTATTCTGTATTATTTAATAATAACTCGAGCGAGTATTGGTTGTTACCCTGTTGCAGTCAACACGTTAAATTCCACGTTAAAGTTCCTATTATTCTACACGATGTAATATATTTTAAAAATTTTACACGTATTTACATAATTATGATAAATACGAACTAATTACGTTTATGAATAAGTAGTGTGAATTAGTTTAATCTCAATACTGGAATGCTGAAAATCGCGAAATGTAATTCAAATGATGTTCGAGCAAGTTCCCATCGTGGTTTTATTTTTCCCATGTGATTTGTATGTTTATCCACTGAAGAGGGAGCCTTATTAGCAGTGCAAGTAAAAGCATGAGTTAAAATTATTATTTGGAAAATAATGTATTCTGGAAGATTTGCATTTTTTGTGCGTTCGGAGGGATTACTGTGCACAAGGTAGAATGGAAGACCTTAATTAAATAAAAAATTAAGATAAAAGAATCTTACAGATGATTTCAAAATAATTCGCGAACGGAGGTTATTTCACGCATGTGAATTAATTTCTTGTTGCCATCTTTCGATTTCTGTAACTACACGTAAAAAAAAGTTGTTTTTACAGAAATTTTTTTCTTAACGATGTAATGATCTTCCTTTTTTTTGCTATTCAATGTTTTAGAAATCACTTGCTAAGCTTTCACCAAAATATCACAAAACATGCGTTAAAACGTCTGAAAGCAACAATTTTCCCACCAAAACCAAAAAAGCCAGAATCCCCTTTTCTTCTGTATGTGAGACATGTTAAACCACAGTTTATCAAAGAAGAACCTGATATGAAATATTCTGAGATATTACAAAGAGCATCCAACGAGTGGGCAAAACTGGATTTTGTTGAAAAGCAGAATTTTAGAGTTGAGTTCGACAAAAATTACAAAATATATACAGAAAAATTGAGAGAATATGATGACTCTGTTACTGAGGAACAAAAGCAATTGTGGAAACAAAAGAAGAAAGAATATGAAAAAGCAGATATCAAAAAGGTAATTACACGGATGGATCGAATCAAGACATTTATCTTTTATCGATTAGTCTAAAGGTTAAATGATTCCAGAAATATGAAGTACTTGGAAAGCCAAAGAAACCATTGAACGCGTATTTGTTTTACTTGTGGTCAAAGAGGAAAGATAAAGATCCAGATATCCCTACTCAGGTACTGAGTTTTCTGAACAGAGTTACTTTGTTGTTTAAAAAATCATAATATTACCAATTGTTTTATAAATTTCTTCGTCAGGATTGGATAAAATCAGTGTCTGTGAGCTGGAAAGCATTGTCGGATGAAGAAAAGGAACCATATATCACAGAGGCTATGCAACATAATGCACAATATTCCAAGGATTTAAAAAAGTGGGAGATGGAAATGATACGTTCTGGTAATTTTGATATTGTAAGAAATAAAACTTTATTGGAATATAAGAATGCTAATTTTGAGGAATAATAATAAAAATTAATTGCTCTATTCTATTTTATTTCTATCGATCATTTTTATTCAGTTAGTGAATCATTTGGAAAATTATACTTGATGGAATATTTATAAACTTACAGATAAATTAACGATTTTGCACGAGCTTATTCAAGTTATTAAAAATAAATCTAAAAAATAAAAATACAATGGGATTTTAGACGAATATTAATATTTGTATTTTTATGTTTTTGAAAATACCATTTGCCATTTTAGAGCAGAATTTTCTTTTTTCAGTACTTAGTTATATTACCGTGTGTTTTCTACAAAACTTCTTGTATCAACTTTCATTCCTTTTATTTATTTCAATTCATTTTCCTAATGAGAAAAATTTTGCAATTTATACGAAATTGTAATGTATGTTAATAATTACTGAATAAACAATTTGTACAGCAAGAGATTCGATAATAGCACTAAAGATTTGTAATATTAATAAACAAAGAAAATGTGTAAATAATGTTCGCAATTCTTAATTTAATTCTACTGCTTTGGTACTGATATTATTATGCACTGTGTAGTTTCAATTGACATATATATTTTTAATAGTACGTATATATTTTTTATTCTTTCTTTGTAAAAATTTAAACAAAATAACCGAATAATTTATTTAATTACATTTTATATATACCTTATACAGTTAAGGTAATAGGACTATTCGTATTATACAAACAATGAAAGAATCCGTAATATATTAGCGTGAAACTGAAAATGTATAAGGCCAAATCTCCGACTATCATATGACTTATTGTTATTAATTTTTTCAATTGATAGGTCAATTCGGGCTTGATGTTGCACAGAATTAAGGCAGCATACAGCATATTATTATTCTTGTGCATGTCTTTTGTATTTTTGTAGTTGTACAGGCGACCCAACATTATTGGGAAGTACGGTATCGCGATTTTCTGTAACATTCAATTGAATACGTATCCATGCAACGAAACTGCAATAATTTCAGTTTTTCATACAAATATCTTATACTTTTACCTTTGCAAATAAATGGTCCATTTGTAATACGAGCAGTATGTTGACGATAAACGCTAATAATATATAATTTACAGGATTTATCAGTAACAAAAGTGACGAACTTTTTGTCCAATTCGAATTGCCATCAATACCTTTAATATTAATATTCAAATTAATGAATTTACTCGTAGTATTTTATAAAAATTGAATGTCAAAAGTATACTGTCACCTTGTGATATTGTGTTACTTATATTCGAGTGTAAAAGTACATTTTCCGTACAATTTTCGGCACTGAATGTTTCGCTGGATAAATCTAAATGTACACCCTTAGCTAGAATGAAGTAACAATATCTTAGAAATGCATTGAGAATTTTAACAACAAAGTGAGAGAATGAGATCTTTTCACAGGTGAGGAAAAATTAACGAATCCTATTTACCTTCTGATTCGTTATTCTCGTCTCTGCCAGTAATTTTTGAGAGACGTTTCTCCGAGTTTTCCAAAATTCTCTTCCTTCTGGCGTTTCTCTTGGCATTAATATCTTCCATCGTTCTTGCTGTATCCCAATTAATCAGATATTAGCAGTTGAAATTTACGATCCTTTCCAATTTAACACGCATCTATAATAATGCATAATAAATTAGTCACACAACATCAGCAGAATTTGTGTCCAGCATAATCGATAGACAAATATCAACGACAAATAGAAAATGATAAACAGAGATCACCGTTTTCTTTTTGCAGAAAGGAATCGAATCTGTTGTCGGCTTGTTGAGAAATTACAGAAAAGAAAACGCTCGAATATCACGGTTTTCAACATTCGTTTCAAATATTGACAATCTTTTGTAATCTCGTCTCGTGAATATACCTCGTCTGTGCTGTGCGTTCTGAAATTATGAATTTTTATTTTACCGACAGAATTGGTCGGAAAGTCGATAATGCCGCCAACCAGTACAAATTCACAATTTTGTTCAATTTCATTCCATTATTCCATTACGTTAGCAGACTCAATTTGAAACAAAGTTTTACGAAACAAATAGGATTTTTTTTTTACGTAATTTCAGTTGAGCATTCCGATTCGAGCACGAATTGAGCTCTGTATCGCACAGCATTGCGAACCGTGCAATATTTACCGTGCAATGGAAACGCGGCGTACGTTTAAGGCTTTCTAGCAAGTACGCCTGCATTTTTAACAGTCTGGTTAGGCTTCGTGGCTTTTGGCGGGTTAAACGCATCGTGTTGGTTTCGGTGTTTTAGCGAAATTTGATAATGGGGGACAAAGACGGTGGTAAGAACAATGCCGATAGATTTTCGTTTTTATTATCATTTCGTCGGTTATTTCCCGTTACTCGGGACGATCGGTTTGCTGACTGTTTCGAAGGACGCTTTCCGTAATGTGATAAACAACCGTAATGTATCTTTCGCGGCATTTTATTTTCGAAAATTTCTGTGAAAAGTTAAACTGAAGTTTCGAACTTGGCCTCGCTCGCCGTTCATATCTCGTCTTTTTCTTCGTTTTAAGCCGCGAAGTACTTTTGAATCGTAAACAAAGCGTGCGTAAACGACACTGTACTTGAATAGGTTATATCGTTGCAAAAAACATGCGATTTTCATTAGTTAAAATATTGATTTTTTTAATTCTCTCATCGTACGTTCTCTTCAGGTTGTACCGGTCATTACGACCGACTGATTTACGACGTTTCTACATTAAATCGCGTCCGTGCCGTATTTCCTCTATATTCTCAGTTTCTCATTTAACGTTTTGTACAATATTTATCTGTATACATGTTGCGTGTACATGTATATTTAATACATAACGTTTCAACGTTTGTTAAATACTTTGAACATCTTAATGCCACGAATGTTCAATCGCAGAAACCTTTGACGATGCCGTGGAGGAACGAGTTATCAACGAAGAGTACAAGATATGGAAGAAAAACACTCCGTTCCTGTATGACCTCGTGATGACACATGCTTTGGAATGGCCATCTTTAACTGCTCAATGGTTACCGGACGTGACTAGGCCTGAAGGGAAGGACTATTCCGTGCATCGTCTCATCTTGGGTACTCACACTTCAGACGAGCAAAATCATTTGCTTATAGCTAGCGTACAGTTGCCAAACGAAGATGCTCAATTCGATGCTTCTCATTACGACAATGAGAAGGGGGAGTTTGGAGGATTCGGTTCCGTTAGTGGTAAGATAGAAATCGAAATCAAGATAAATCACGAGGGAGAGGTAAACAGAGCGCGGTACATGCCGCAAAATCCGTGCGTGATCGCAACAAAAACACCGTCGAGTGATGTTCTTGTCTTTGATTATACGAAACACCCGAGTAAACCGGATCCTAATGGCGAATGCCAGCCTGATCTTAGGTGAGTATATATTCGTACGTGTAAGTTAGAGTTTTTGAGAAAACTTGTACAATAGTGATTTTAATGTCTGATGTCAGATTAAGGGGACACCAGAAAGAAGGTTATGGCCTATCATGGAATCCAAATTTGAATGGATACTTGCTCAGTGCATCCGATGATCATACAATTTGTTTGTGGGACATTAATGCACCTCCTAAAGAGAATCGTGTGATTGATGCAAAAACGATCTTTACTGGACATACTGCTGTCGTTGAAGATGTTGCTTGGCATCTGTTGCACGAATCATTGTTTGGATCCGTCGCGGATGATCAGAAATTGATGATTTGGGACACAAGGTAATCACGTGCGAAGTCACTGTCGATCCAGCCAAGTCGAAATAAACATTACTGCTATGCACAAACTTCTTTCAATTAAACTCGTCTTGTTTCTGTGATCATCAGATGTAATAACACTAGCAAACCGAGCCACACGGTGGATGCTCATACTGCTGAAGTGAATTGCTTAAGTTTCAATCCGTACTCGGAATTTATTCTTGCGACTGGTAGCGCCGATAAAACGGTGGCGCTTTGGGACTTGAGGAATCTCAAGTTGAAATTGCATTCTTTTGAGTCTCACAAAGATGAGATCTTCCAAGTCCAGTGGTCACCGCATAATGAGACGATATTAGCTAGTAGCGGTACAGACAGGCGTCTACATGTCTGGGATCTTAGTAAAATTGGCGAGGAACAATCCAGCGAAGACGCCGAAGATGGACCGCCCGAATTATTGGTATATAATATACGTTTCTCTGTTCCTCCTTTGACTAATCACTTTTCGTGGAAATCGAGCCGAAAGGATATTACGGATGCATCTTTCGTATCTTTTGTAGTTCATTCATGGTGGTCACACCGCGAAGATCAGTGATTTTTCGTGGAATCCGAACGAACCGTGGGTTATATGTTCTGTTTCGGAAGACAATATAATGCAGGTATGGCAGATGGCGGAGAACATTTACAATGATGAAGAACCAGACACACCAGCGAGTGAATTGGAAGCTGGTGCTTCATAAAATATGTAAGAAAAATAACCGATTAAATTATTTGATATTGAAATTTTCCAACGTATTCGCGTACGTACACACATTATATATATGTATATATACCATATACCATATTAAACCATATATGTATACATATATAGTTTAATATCATATATATATATATATTTATATATATATATATGCGTGTGTATGTGGGTGGGTGTGTGTGTTCTCACATGAAACCAATGATCCCAATTAGGGTTGAGAAAGACATTAAAGTGAATTTGTATGTTTAAACGAAAAGAATCATCGAAAAGCAATAATACCTATTTTTACTACCGATCTTACGTCCGCTTATAAACACGTATACCAACTACACACACACACTTCTACGATCGATTGAGACAAGCGTGACATGCTAACTTTCTTAGAAATAAATTGATACTTGTATTTCATTGATTGTAACATTGCGATACATAATGTATAAATTTCTAGAAAAATCATTTCTCCTCTACAGATTCTGTGATGTGTTGCAATTTTTTTACGTTTATATATAAAATTATATGTGCATTACGCAATAGAATAAGGTGTAAAATGATTTCCGACGAATAATAATCATAATCTCTTCGAACGCATCATATTTTAATTTTGCTGAATAAGAATCACAGGGTTGCACGATGAACGCGTTTATGTTAGTATCTCATTCTTACTAAATATTTAATAACTAAAGTATTACGCTGA